GCTGTGGTCCGAAGCTCTTCTCGCCGTCTCTCCCGTGGACCCCCTGTGGCCTTCCCCGAGTTGCGCTCGTCACGGCGTGCTCAGTCTCGCCGTTTGCCGGTGGCACCTTGACGTGGTGACCAATGTTGTTCGCGCGCCCGACAGGGGTGCAGGGCCTGTCAGGTGCGGCAGGTTCACGCGCGTCGACGCTGCACGGGCGCTCACGGTTGAAAGCTACCAGCGGACTGACCCAGGCCAAGTTTGAGCCGTTTGACTCGTCGGAGAGCGGGGGTAATCCGATATTGAACAGCACGGCCGCCAGACTTCCCGCAATACCCAGATCCTATGCTGAGAGAGTCGGCAGTGGTCCGTGTTGAAGATATGGGGGAAACGGCTCATGAGTCGCTGGAGGAGGCGGAGAGGCTTGATAAGAATGTGGGGTAGGCGGAGCAGGAGGATCCTCCTGCCCAGCAAGGGAAGAGTAGGCAGGAGTAAGATGTTGAACTGCAGGAACGGGAGCATTGCGATCCTTACTTTCGCTCCCTTCCATACAATGCCAAGGCATACCAGGTCCGCTTCACTTACAACTATTTTCGCGTCCAACTTCAAAGGTTTACGTGGACTGCAGGGCGCGATCGGGACTCTGCGCCCGCGCAATAGTTCGCAGCGATTTATGGGGAGGCCCTCGGGGAGCACCCGCACGCGCGAGGAGGGACCATGTTTCAGGCACCCCCCCAGACAGTCCTAAAACAGGATCTGCCCCAAACCAGGGCCCAGCCAAAACAGCCCCTCACACTCAGGCTGCGACGCGAGAGCGCGATGACTGAACATCCCTCCGAAATGCCGCCCAAAATGTTGTCCGAAATGCTGCCCGACATGTCGCCTAGAATGCTGCCCGAAATGCCCCGCGCAACACAACGCAACCCTGGGGGAAGAAAGCATCGCACGTCCCGGAATAATAAAAGGGAACGTCTATGTTGCATGTTGGGCTTCGATTTGGGCAACGTTTTGGCACGACGTTGGGCAGTCCCGGTCGTCGTTTTGGGTCGTGTTCCGTCTCTTGAGGGCGGTCGATGTGCGCGAGGGGAATGACATATCTGAGAGGTCTCCCGGCGCAATCACAGCCCGCGTGTTCGGGCGTGGGATCCCGGGATCCCAGGATCGCCCCTCAGTTAACAACCATATGTGGATAAAGCGGGATGCCGCAAAATTCCGACATGACAAAAACGGTTTTCATAATTTTTGTTAAGCAGAGATTCCGCGAAGTTCCGAGCTCTCGCTGCGAATCGTTCGGAACGCCGATGAGGGCCCATCGTCGGCCCTCCTCGCCATCATCGCCAGAATGTGCCATCAGCTCCGTTGTTCTATTGCCCAGAGGTCTGGCTCAGCCCCAACTTGCCGCCGCTGCGCTTTCCTTGCTCGCAAGGCGGTGTCTGCGCTGGACCAGGCGAAGCTTTGCGTTGCGCGCCTCGCGCGGCTGGGAACTTGTGACGCCCTGGCTCGAAGACCTTACCATTCAACATGGTTTTCATTCAGTTGCGCGCCCAGGGGGGGGGTGAGAGTGAGCGGGCCTTCGCAAAGGGCTCGGCAGACCCCCGTGGCTCTGATATTTGTTTTATTTGTTACAACTTCCCGAAGACAGACTAACACATTCCAGGAGGCCCGAGGGCTTGTGAGAAGCCCTGTTGCCTTCTCAGAAGTCCTGGTCCCTCTTACTTTCGCCCTGGGCTCGCCGCCGAGACCCGAAGACGTCAGCATGGCTTTCTACCCATAGCATCAAGCGGGATCTTCGGGAGATGCCGGGGCCGCCCACCGTGAATGTAGCGGCGCTGCTTCGAATTGGCTTCGACGCGGTACCAAGTCGGACCAAGCGCCCTTGCATTGGCGGAAGCATTGTTTGACAATTCAAAGTTGGAATCTGCAAGCGGCTGTATCATTCCCGTTTGGCGACCAGACGGCAGTAGGTTGGGAGCGGCGGCCCTTTTTTACAGAGGGGGTTGGTTCTCGTCTTAAAGAGGGCCGGGAACAGCCCCCTGAAGGCCAAGCCACCGCGCGACGCAGGTGGCCTTCGCCCAGGGACCTGGCTTTTTTGGTACCTCGGGTTGCGCGAATGCCGGCAAATCCAGCACAGCCCATTGGCAGCGATTTTGGATCCGATGTGAGCCTCAAAGCGCGCGTGGCGCACGCGTGGGTCTAGGCTTACGCTATTTCGCCCACTCCGAATTTAAGAGTTCCCGAGCGGCATTTTGGTGGCCTTGTGCATACGTTGGTGATTTTGCAGGGCCTGGTCAAAGGGAGGCGGGAGTGGCGCAGGGTGAAGGACAAATCAAGAGACCACGGGTGAGGATGGCCTGCGTGTATGAGAGGGGGGGATGATGAGGAGGAGGGGTGATGATGAGGAGGAGGATGAAAAGGAGGAAAAGGAGGAAGAGGAGGAAAAGGAGGAGGAGGAGGAGGAGGAGGAGGAGCAGGAGGAGCAGGAGGAGCAGGAGGAACAGGAGGAGCAGGAGGAGCAGGAGGAGCAGGAAGAGCCGCAGGATCAGGAGGAGGAGGAGGAAACATACGGAAAATATGAGGAGAGGAGTAGGAGGAGGAGGAGAAGGACGCAAGCTTGAGAGAACCACCAAGTGAGGGAATACGTTCAATCGTGGAGCCTTGCGGGGCTTTTCTTGGACTTGCTGGAGGCGTTTGAAGGGGCTGTTGGGGCCTCTTTGGGGGGTTGGGGGGCGCCTGTTGGCGGCCTCGGGGCTCCGCTTGGACCCCCCTTGGGGCCCTCCGGAGATCCTCTCGCGCCGTCTTTGGCGCCTCCTGGGCCGTTTTGGGGCCCTGTTGGACTGTCATCAGGCCTTGCTGGACTTATGCTGGCCCGCTTTGGGACGATAGTGCGGTGGAGGCTGAAATTATGCGACCAGAGTGCCCCGCATAAGGATGCTACGGGTTTAGTGGGATCAACGGAACACCACACACAGTAAGAAACATGGACGGCCCATGATGTTCATTCCCCAATCAGAGCTTGCCTCTGTCGGGTTCCTAGCGGATTCGTATGGTTAGTTGAGGTTTGCCATCGATTTCCACGGCCTGCCCAGGTGCCCGGGTGCCTTATAGCCCCACAGCCCTATAGCCCCATAGCCCCATAGCCCTATAGCCCTATAGCCCTATAGCCCTATAGCTCCATAGCCCCATAGCCCCATAGCCCTATAGCCTTATAGCCTTATAGCCCTACAGCCCAATAGCCCTTTAGCCCTTTAGCCATATAGCCTTATATCCTTATAGCCCTAGAGCCCTAGAGCCGTATAGCTCTATACCCCTATTGTCCTTAAGCCCTATAGCTTTATGGCTCTGTAGCCTTCTAGCCCCATAGACCCGCCACCTGATCGCCCTATGGCCCAATAGCCCTATAGCCTTATAGCCCTATCGCCCTATAGCCCTTTAGCCCTATAGCCTCATAGCCCTAGAGCCCTAGAGCCGTCTAGCTCTATAGTCCTATTACACGAAAGCCCTATAACCCTACAGCCCCCATGGCCCCATGGCCATATAGCCCTATAGCCCAATAGCCCTGTAGCCCTACAGCCCCATATCCCTATAGCCCTGTAACTCCATCTGCCTTATAGCCTTATAGCCAGATAGCCCTGTAGTTATATATGCATATAGCCTTATAGCCCTATAGCCCCATAGCCCTATATCCGTATAGCCCTATAGCGCCATGGCCCTGCAGCCTTACAGCCCCATAGCCCTATATATTCATAGCCCTATGAACCTATAGGCCCAGAGCCCCATAGGCCCATAGTCCTCTATCCCTACAGCCCTATGGTCCTATAGCCCTCAAGCCTTATAACCCTATGGTCATATAGCCTTCTAGCCCCAGAGCCCCGCCGCCGTATAGCCCCATAGCCCTATAGCGCTAAACAGACATTGTTTGGTTGTTTCGGTGTCATATATCGTAATGGAAGGGCCAACGGAAGCGACAATGGAGAAACCAAATGGAACGGGAGGATGCCTGATCATGGCGCACCTTGTTTTGCAAAGCAGGGCCAGCACCTCTTGCATCGAACAGTATTTCGTTGCCCTCCTCGTTCTGGCGGAGCACCCCTGGATGGAGTGTGAGGGGCGCAAGACCTTGCGCATCTTCTTGCCGTCATGCCTCCGACTTCGCGGTCTCACGTCCGAGTGGGGCGGGGAATTGCAAAGTGTTCGGCGCTTTCTAGGGCGGCTGGGGGGTCCAGCGGACTGACGTCTTACGCAGATGAAGCGTTTGACCTCGCCATCCGTGGGGGCCTGGGAATGCGAACTGGCAACAGTTTCGAGGGCTGCTGAGGGGGGGGGGGGGTCAGCGGACTGACGTCTCACCCAGATCCATGTCAGACCTCGCCATCCTGGGGCGAAGCTATGGGCACTTTCAGGCTTTGCTGTGGTGTCCAACGGAATGTCGTATTACGCGAATGAAAATGTTGATTTCCCCATATGTGTGTGGGGGGGTCTACGGACTGCGAAGCTGTCGACACACTCGAAGGCTGCTGGGGGTCCAGCGGAGTGATGCTTTATTTGACGCAGATTCAGGATCATCGTCGCCATCCCTGGATGGTTGGGAACTGCGAAACGGTCGACACTTTCGAGTGCTGCTGGGGGGTCCAGCGGAGCGACGTCTCACGCATAACCAGATTAGACGTCGCACTCCCTGGGGGGTGCGAACTGCGAAACGGTCGACGCGTTCGATCGTTGCTGGTGGTCCAGCGGGGTGTCGTATTGTGCAAATTGGAATTTTGACATCGCCATCCTTGGGGGGGGGGGATGCGAATTGCAAAATGCTCAACATTTCCGCGACGTTTCACGCAGATTCAGGCTCGACTTCGTCGTCCTTGGGGGGCTGCGGATTGCAGTCCTGTCGGCTTGGCGAAGCTGTCGACACGTTCGGGGGTTGCTCGGGGTTCCAAGTGTTTGGGCGTTTTACGCAGAGTGAGATTCGACCTCGCCATCCTTGGGGGGCTGCGAGCCGCGGAATTGTGTTCACTTTAGGCGGAATG